AGAACAGAGACAGAAACCATGTGTCCTACTTTACATAGAACTGTCCTCCATAAAAAGACATCCTCTAATGGAAAGGATGTCCAGTCCAAATCGCGTTTCAAAAACAAAGAACCATATAAAACCGGGAAAGATGCCCATCCACATGCAGCTCCTGGAGCAATCATCCTCGGTGTCTTTATTTAAATTTGGGTAATTATTTCTAAATTTACATCTCGGCGTGTACAGTTTTCATGCAAATCACAGTCCGCTTTTGTCCTCTGCTTCGGTGAGGCATATCCTCCTTTTTGGCACTGTGTAAATGGGCACCCTGCTTCCCTATGTGAATGGGCAGGAAGAGATAGCAGGGTATAGCACTGATATGGAGAACCAGAATGATTAAGAGCCACAACGAGAACCACAATATTCAAGAACACTGAGCCTCCAGGAACAGTGGAAGTTAGTGCTGCTGTGACAATTCATAGACTCCAGAACATATGTGAGTAAAGGAGTTAGGCCTCTGGTCTCTAGAGTGCATAGAAAAGCTGGCGCGCGCAAGATCCCAGGGATGGAGGACATTTGCCAGTGAACTTGTGTATAGTTCACAATATGCTTACATGCCATGCCTCATGTCTCAGCCTGTATACGAATGAACAGTGAGGCGTTTAATCAAAAGGGAATAAAAGAAGCTAAAAGGCACCTCAACTGACCATCCCTTCCAACCCACCACTTGTTATACACTGGATATCGTACTTGTGGTCATTCTTTTTGTTCTGAGGTTCTTTCAATCAGAGAAGACCACTTGTGCATGGATGAGTTCCACACACAAAAGTATCTAACAGTATGCGATTACGTACTGCAGCTACCGTCAGGAAATGTGGCCTTGTATACCTTTCCCTGATATGAGAAACTGCCATCAGCAAATTAAAAATGTCAAGTCCCTATCTGCTAACTTTCCTTTTGGATCAGAAACAAACAGTATCTGAAGTATCCTAAGTGATTACGGTATTTCTTAGTTAACGTTTATCTACGAGTTCACTTGAGATGTGATAGCAACTAACGGCGGGGAACTCTGACAAGGCAATAGATGGAAATAATGCAAGCTGCAGCTGTTGTCTCCCAGACCATATATAGGCTGCGTAATGGAAATAGATACCGAGCATTTGAGTTATGCCTGAACCACTCCTGTCTGGAGGAGGAGGCAAGAGTAAGAAACACACAAAATATTATCCTAGGAATACATTACATTGCTGTCCAAATTTTATATAATTAAACAGCAGCCTCGGAAACGAGCAGTTAATTAAATTGTAGTCTGACATTCATATTTTAAAGCTTTCACTCTAGAAATATTTTCCTTCTTCGTGTTAAGATTTTTTTTCTTGAGTGATACCATGCACAGAATGTTATGACTCAGAAGGTATGAAATGCAGTAATGAAGCTTTTTTCAAAGGCTGTGGTTATAGGGAAGCATTTCACTAACAGAAGCATAAATATTTCACTTTCTAATTTAGCATTTCTAAGTAAGGATTTCTTACTAACATTTCCGTATAAACAAGCCTGAGAAGTGAATTGCCTGTAGCACCCCCCCCCGCCCCTTCTTTGTAGAAAGGCATGATGCAAATGAAATCCAAACATCACCAGCAATGTAGTCTGTGTGATTTTGTTTTTTATGAACTGATAAGAGTTGGGACACTTTGAAAGGCAAATGGGTCACGATAGCCTGTCTGTGGCTCTGAACATTGCTTTCTCTTGGCCCATATCCCACTGTTCCTTCAGTCCTTCCAACACGTGAAGAGTGTGGAAATGAGCAAGAGTTAAGCTGTCACAGGGTGTGGGGGGGGGGGGCGGAGGAGGCAAGATCCTTATCAAGACTGTGAGGGTGGAATGTACTGAAATTACTGCAGGTCCTTTGTCCAAAGACCAGCAAAATTGAACCTGGACCAACTTTTTCTACAAGAATTTTATTATTGATAAGTACAAAGGAACACGCACACACATCTGGACTACCACTGTATCACAAGATTACCACTTAGAGCTTCCCAAAGACTCAAAATAAGGTGAGACATTCCACATCATTAAACTGTGACTTGAACAAGAAATGGAAGTAAACCTTTGGCAGTGTATCATAATCCAAACTTGCATAGCAGAATGTGAGAATCTAGAATCAAAGAGTTTGAAGGGACCTCCAGATTCTCTAGTCTAATCCCCTGTGTATGCAGGGCATCCAGCAACTGTAGCATTTTCAAAACTAGATTGTATGTTGCATCAGTTCTCTGTCCTCTTAAAATTAGCTCGAACATTTAAAGTTGCTGGGATGCTGAACTGTATTACTCTATCTTTTTTTCCCCACAATGATGGAATGTAACCCTGACAACATTTTCATTAAAATGCATGAGATGTATGTAATTAACTTTATGAATATTTTTATTTTTGGTGGTTACTTCAAGTTCTGGCCCAAAGTCAATAAGCAAAGTTGAAGTCTGAAAATATGTTTAGATTGTCTATCAATACAAAATTATAAGCTCTGCTATATTATGACAGATCATAGATAGGCAGTCTAAAATGGGTGATCCTTCTTACAGATTTGTAAAATTAAGGCTGACAGTTAATCTTTTCATTTCCTCCCAATCAATTTGAAAGCATTCTTGAAGACAAATAAAGCACATATGAGTCACAAGCCATGCAATTTAATCATATCTGGGATAGTGGGTGGTAGATTAACAGCAAAGTTCACATTGTAATATAAATATGTAACCCAAGTTCCCAGTCTCAGCCTCTTGTAGAATGACAAAGTTGAAGCACTTCTTCAACACAATCTTGTCGAAGTCTCACCCTCTGATTAAAGACCTCTAATGGAGAATCCACCATCGTCTGACACAATGACTGGGTTCATACATGACAGACAACCATTGTCTATTAGCATTGGTTGTTTGTCTTGTGAACCCAGCCATGCTTAGCACTGGGTGATTTCAAAACCACCCTCACCATGCACCTCACTAGGTTCAGACAACCTGGGAAGCCACTGTGACTTATTTTTTCATTGATTGACCAAACCCAGTCAGTACCCAACTAAGTTGCAAAAACTAGAAATGGACACCAGGTAAGGATCAAACAACGTATAATACAGTGGCACCATGGCTTCTTGTACTGTAAATAATATACTTCTGCTGATGCATTCTAGAATTGCATTAGTCTTTTACCATTATGTTGCACTGCTGACTCATGTTTATTTTGTGATTTGCTAAAACTGCTAGGTCTTTTTCACATGTGCTGCTGTTAAGCTAGGTTCACATATCCTATATGTGCATCTGAATTTTCCTACCTAAGTGCAGAACTGAGCATTTCTCTTTGAAGTTCATTTGATTAGTTTTGTTCCAGTTCTCTGTCCTATCAAGATCATCCTGACTCCCATTTCTATCTTCTGAAGGTATTACCCCTTCCAGTCTGGTGTAAATTTTCATCTAAATCATTTATTAAAATATTTTAATAAGAACACTTGACCTAAGACAAAACTCTGTGGCACCCCATCCCTCACTAGTTTGAGAAGGAGGTTTCAGTGAGCTTTCTTTGAGTAAGGACTGCAACCAGCTACAAATCCACCTGTTAGTGTGGCAGGTTGTTATGCATTAATGTTGTGTTGCAACATGGCAACACAAGAGGAAGCATGTAAAATCATCTTCCGGGTGGTACCTTTATATTCATCAGCCATTAGGTAAGTTCTAAGTTTGCTTATATTGCTATTTTGCTGTTTCTCACCATCATTGTTAGGAAGCTAAGTGCTATATAGAAAGCCACAGGGTACAAGGAATGCTATTCAACCTGTTATTGGACACATATTATCCGATTAAGCTATGAAAAACATCTTAGGAATAAAGCATCAAACTTTACATGGAATTTTGGAATTCAGTTTTCTTGTTTAAAGAGAAGATAGAAAAGCAAGATCAAGATTAATATTCACAGGAAAATTGTATTAAGTCAGTTCATTTGAAAGGCAAGGTCCATTCTTTGGTTTTATGTTTTTGTTTTTCATAAACAGTCTTGCATATTACTCTAGAAAGAGAGACAAAAATGTACAACTTTGAGAGTGGCATTGGTGTTAAACTGCTAAAACACACCTCAGGCATTATCCAGTGTGAGTGCCAGTAACCATCCATGTGCATACAATTGAGCTTGGGACACAAGTGAGCCTTCCATACTTGGCTCACCCTGCAAAATACATAGATCGCCAGTTTCAGCTTTCTTTATCTTTTGCCCCTGTGAGTGGGAAGGAGCTGGGGCACCACCTGGATTCTTCAAGCCCTGACAGAGCCTCACTCCTCCTTTCACTGCCCTCTGGAGCATCCCACCCCCACAAAGGGAGCAAGAGCGAAGGGAGAGTCCCAGCTCAGATCCACTTCCAAGAATGGAGCTGAGACTCTAACATGTCCTGTGGCTACCTAAGCAGTGCCTAGAAGCCATTAAGATTGCACCCTTAATAGGCTGTTTTTAGGGGACAATAATAGAGAGGAGGAGAAACCTTTTTTCATCCTGCACAAACTACAAAATATCTTTCTTTCTTTCTTTCTTTCTTTCTTTCTTTCTTTCTTTCTTTCTTTCTAAGGGAGGCATTCAAAACTGATCTGTGTCTTCATTCTGTCCAATTTGATCACGGCAGCTGTAGGGTTCCCTGCAATTTATAATGCTCCCTACATGCAGCAATTCAGTTCTGGCTGATGCATCTCTCTCAGGCACAGAGATGTACACACTTTTCCTGAGGGGATGGTAGCCTTCCATTCCACAGGGCAAATCTGATTTGCCAGCAGCTCTGACTAACTGGAGAAAAGCATGAAGCCAGACAGCTAGAATGAAGGTTCAGTACATGCAGGTGCTTGTCATTCCAAGCTGTGGAGATTCTTTGCAATTTTAAGAACAAGAAATACTGATCATGAAAAACAATTCATAGGTCTCAATCAGATGCACTTGGGAGGAGGATGCAGTTGCTCCTTGAAAAAGCTATAATATTGTCATAGTAACTGCAGGCTTACTTTCTCTGCGAACATCACGAAGCGCAGCATTAAGTTCCTCCACAAAAAAGGGGGCCTCCTTAGCAATTTTCTCCCCTTTGTCCAGTAAGTTCCAGGTAGCCTCTTCCACAGAAGCAAGGATAACACGGGCTCTTTTAGAACAACCTTTTTTCTTGTTGGATGGATTCTGGGGGCAATTCACTAAAGTGGTAACCTAAAAACAAACAAGATGTTACAATAGTGCTGTAGCCACATGTTACATATTTCACCCTAAAATAATCAGTCTAGATATCACCAATGACTAGTTAAGTTCTTAAGGGCCAATGAATAGGGATCTGTGAACGAAGAACATAACTCTAGCAAATCCAATGCATAGTGAATTAAAAGGTTAGCTCAGAATTAAGCACATACACAGTGTCATAACTTGACCCTGAGGAAGATAATTTACAAGATATTAGGAAAATGCTTCTCACACACAGGCAATATTTGTAGAGGGAAAACAATAGTCTAAAAATGAAAATCACATTATCTTATTGTTCACCTTGTTTATATGAGGAAAATATGTCGCGTATCGAACAAGCCTAAGTTTAGAGAGCAATTATACCTGGTTGGTGAACTGTGCTTACACTGACAAGCATATAACAAGACGAACTGGACCACTTGATATATTACAAACCCTGTACATTGCCCATATTTTTGATAGGATTCCCCATTTCTGAATTAGTTTCAAATACCACAATTCGTATAACTCAGAACAAAGAAATATAATTCTGTCAAACTGGCCATTACAAAGTCCAAGCCATACAATTAAAGGACTGATCACCCCTTCCAGGAAGTCCCTGCTGAAGGAAGCTAGGTTTACTAAGGTGGAAACACATAATATACCTTCTTAAACTAAAAATAGCATGGTTTTGATTTTCCCTCTTTCTTGCTGAATAGACCATGAATAAACAGCATTCAGATATTATAATAAATAAGGATGTGGGTTGCACATCTAATAGACAGAAGGGTCAGAGTTCGGAGTCCTCTGCCTATTCTATGTAAGGTTAGGAGTGTGGGTGGCAGACAACTAAAGTTGGAATGCTGAGACCAAGGCACCAGTTCAAGGTGGACTCCTGCAGCAGGTTCAGAGGGCCAAAAGCAAGAGACACGTTTAACAATCCAGGGTTAAAGCCAGGAAAAAAGCAGATCCAAGAAAACATACTCCAAGATGTCACAATTCAAAGGCAGAGTCCAAGAAGTTCCAGAGCAAGGAGACAAGGATGGAAACTGGAGTAAGGCAGGAGGTAGGCAGGCAGGGCAGCTGGCCCAAGGTTCAGGTGAAGTGATACAGAGAGCCAGGTTGCTGTGGCCAAGAGGAGCACTGTAGGGAGGCCTCTTATGCTGGTCTCCAGGGCCTCCAGCCAAACTGCATCATTGCTCCTCAACTGTTCCCTGCAGGTGCCTGCAAAGGTGTTCCTGGTTCTGCAGGTACTTGCAGGGTCACTCAGGTCCTGATCCTGACACTGACATCCTAAGCCCTGTGATCAAGTACTAAGCAGGGGGAAAGAGGAAGACAGAAGCAAATCTTAACATCCATTTCAAATACAAAAAGCAGCTAGATGGTTCTCTGAGGCTCACTGACTTTCCTGTTGGTGGGAAAGGAAGGGACTGGAGAGATCTTTCAGGGGCCCCTCCTCTCCACCAACCAGCATGCCCCCTTTTCTCCCACCCTGACTTCTACAAGGCTGCAGATGGAACTTGGAAACAGAAGCTTCAATGGCCAGGAGTGGGGAGGTGCTGGGGAAGGCAAAATCCATGTACAGAGGAAAGTCCAAGGGAAAATCGAGTACAGAGATCTGCAGCATGCTGTCCAGAGGCAATAGGATTGCTCTCCAAACGCATTTGTAAAAGGTTTCCCAAAAAGTATTGCCTAGCATTTGCTATTCTTTTTCACTTAAAAAAGTATCTTCATCATTACTTCTCTCAAACTGTTGTTGCTTCATGAACCTTATTTCTCCTTTTGCTCTTTTGTACTTTAAAGTTTCAAGAATTTCCCTTTCTGCTTGTTATTTTAACTGAAGAAAGGTCACCCCATCTGCATTTTAAGTATAACCTACTCCTTTCTTTATCCCACAACTGCAGAGTTCAGTATTTCAGACAATGCTTTAAAGAGGAAAAATTAAAATAAAACCCTGTAAGTACTTCAACGGTGCACTTAGCACAGATGTACCAGGCTCTACCATTGAAAGTAGTTCAGTTTGACTTCTTTTGATCCTGTGAAGTACTGTCTGAATATTAATACTCCCCTTGGATATTTTCAGTCATTCAGGTCCAAGAGTACGCAGCTACCTTATGCAAACTCAGTCCTGACTCCAAGGTTGCAGGGGAAGGGTCCTTAGCAAGATTCTGTCTCCTGAAAGCCCCTACTTGGTGCACTGCAGGGGTTCCTCCTTGACCTCCCCCTCCTAGAAAATTTGGCTTCCATCATCTGCTTTGATGCCTTCAGCAGCAGCTCCTCTCTTAGTCCCCTTCTGTCTCTCTCCTTTCGGATAGTGCTGTCAGAGCAGCAGCAGCTGTTGCTTCCCACTACAGAAGGAGCACATGGACCGTGGCGACTAACAGTGGCTGCCAGTGCCACCAGCCAGAGAGAAAGAGTGGTGGCTTTTGCTTCTGCCCACAGCTGCCATGTGCTCCCTTGCTCTCCCAGACAGGTGACTGAGTAGCAATGATGTAAGGCACCCAGCATTGCCAAAGAGAAGAAATGCATCACCAAAAAAAAAAAAAGATACAAATTTCCTATTTGCATAATCTAATTTCTTTGTTTAGATTCAAATTTAGGCATAATACCTGTAATTTAAATCAAAACAAAATACTTCTCACCAAAATGGAGAAGACCAGTTCGGTAACCTGACAGGTGCTAACTGATTGTGGCTTCTGTGCTCCCTTCTCGCGGTTCTTTGACTTTAAACCAGATTTAGACTGGTTTAATCAAACAGACAGCCTCTTCAGACTGAGGACAGCTCTCCAAAAAAGGGACTAACTTCTATCAAGAAAGGCACCCTGCACTGGTGGCTAGGAGCAGTATCTTATCTGGCCCTTCTTCCAGCTAGTAGCACCAGGAGATTCTGCTCCCAGCAGCCATTGCTGCTTGGTGGCCCAGTATGAAAGACAAACAAGCACTCGCAGATGCAGATCCTAGTAGCATCCACTGCCGCCTGTCCTTTGCCTGTCTGGTAGACGGGCAGGAAATCAAGACGTTCCAGCAACGTGGCACTGATGAGGAAAGATGAGCCCTTCTGGGTGAAGGCAATTCCCTGCTGCCCAGAGAATACGGAGGGTAGATGGCAGTGTCTGCTTCTGTGGGGCAAGCCAGGCAGCAACAGTGGGCTTTTAGCAGCAGCTCCGACACTGCCAGTCCTTTGACACTGGGCCTTGATAAACTGGCAAGACAGCAGGAAGAAGGCAGCCATGTGACAGATGGGCAGCAATCAAGTGTTAGCACATGGGGAAATTTTCATGTCCTCTTCCCTCAGGGACAAGTCTGCCAGATGGAGGGAAGACGTGTGACGAGTTTGCGTTTATTATTATGACTGGTATTTTTAATTTCGTGAAAATTATTGTCGCTATTTTATTTCTTAATAATTTTGTTGTAAGTTGCCTTGGCTCTTTTAAAAGAGGAATGATACTAATGTTGAAACAATGGCATCGGACTAGTCTTATGGCGTGATCCTATTCTCCAGACGAGGATCCCAGGCTTCATAGAAGTGCCCCAAAAGCCCTACTGGTGAGGGGAGCCATTGTGGAATTCCCTGGACTGCTGGCTCACTCTTGGCAGCACTGGCCACTTTCTCTCCCAGTAGTAGTTGGTCAACTTTAAATATTCCCCTGCCCTGAAAAGAGAAGCAGATCCAGAGTGCAATGTTCTGAAGATAAAAAGGCTTGGATAGTCCAGTATTCGCAACAGAACTAGGCTTCTTGTTTAGGGCACTGAAAATATACCTGTAGAAGTGGCGCAAACAAGTTGCCCTTTTCCTCTCACTAAAGTCCTCTAGACAAGTCTCCATCCAAGGAAAAGAAGCATATATTTTTTAATTCTTTTATATTGTTATTTATTTTATATTGTTATTTTTATATTGTTTTTATTGTATTTTTCTTCATGTTGTGAGCCGCCCTGAGGCTTCAGCGAATGGGGCGGCATATAAATGTTTTAATAAATAAATTAAATAAATAAATAAATAAATATTCCTTCCTGCCTGGCCTCTCAGTGCTCTCTTAAGGCTAGTGATCGTCCTTCAGGCAAGAGGGAAAATGTCATACAAGTGAACATTAATGAAACAGACTGCTACTCACATCCACCAGAAAGCCAAACAATGTAGAGAGAAGCATGCCTCCCTGAGTTGCAGTAAGTTACAGAAAGGGGAACCTGCACCAAGGTTTGAAATGAACAAGCTGTAATGGCTGTAAAATTGGTTCAGATGCTAATGGTAAATTTGTGCAGCGGTGACTGGAATGAATGGAAGCTGGGCAAAAGAAGTTCCCAGTGAATCATGCCTGAATTTGCTTTTCTCTCCTCCCTCCCAATTTCCAGTCCAAGTGATGGCTGTTCGTAGCCAATATCCATGGACTCGTTTTCACAGGTGCTGCTCTCATCTGCCCTATCCAACGGGACGGACAACAGAAGACATGGGAGATGGGGAGTGGGCCACTGCTGCGGGCAGCAAAGAAGATGATGGAAGTCAACCCTTCCAGGAGTGAGAGTGGAGGGAGGAACTCCTGCGCTGTACCAGGTAGGAGGTTCCACCTAAAAGCCTCTTGGTAAGGAACCCCGCCCTCCATGACCTTGAAGTTATATACCTGGGTTTGCATTAAGTAGTTGTGCACTCTTGGAACTGAATGCCTGACAATAGCCAAGGGAAGCATTAATATTCATACAGCACTTCACAGGATCAAAAGAAATTAAACTGAACTTTTTGCAATGGCTGAGTGTAAAAGTATAATTTTTGCAGAGATTTGGATTTGAAGAATATCCCTAAAATGTTCCAATGATTTCCTATGACCATTCAAAATGACACAATGCTTTTCAGTGGGCATTTGGTGGCCTTCCTTTAGGGTTTATGTCTCTTAACACCCCCCTCCAAAAGAGGGGATTATCTGGGCTGTGTCTAGCAAACTGGACTATATTTACAGAGTGCCAATAAAGTAAAGATAGAAAGAAGTGCAACTTTGCAAAAA